CACCCGCGGGGCGGCCTCGCTTTGCTGCGGCGAGTCGTTTCCACGGCCGATTACGATACACGGCCTTCTCCCTCTCACGTCGCAGGCAAACCCCAGCCCGGTTTACTCCTCAGCGGTGGCCGCGCAGGTCTGAGCTGCTGCGGTTTTCTTTTACAGCGTTATTTTTGACCAGAAGTTGGTTTAATTCCCCGTTCTAAACATAAACTCACTTCTGGTTCCCCATCACCAGCTACAACCACGCAGGACGCTCAACCAAGTAGCAAAAAATGACACAATAATTCTGCGGTGAAATTACTGTTTGAATTCAGTCATAACAATTTCAATTACACGTACACTCTGAATTTCTCGCTTTAACAAAATTGAGAAGCTGGCAGTTTACTGCGCTCGTATTTATTCTCGACTCTGATAAATGTGCATAATTAGAACCGTTAAAAAAATCATAATTTGTATTTTAGAAAGATCCAATTGCTATGCCTTCACCAGAGCCTCCCCGTTTCAGTCTCTCCCGACCAGGTGTGTCTCCTGGGGCCTGTCGATGCGGAAGAGCAGCTCGGCGGGCAGAAGGTACCCCAGGTACTGCACACTGTCGGGGCTGGTGTCCTGATGGTAGTGTCCTCCTTCCCCATGGTGGCTGAAACAGTGGGTGTGCTCTACGCGCAGATCAAAGCCCTGTCACCAGAGAAAGGCCCGTGAACACGCATTCATGTGAACTGTGGTTAAAAGTCCTGGGATAGTCTCTCCTTTCTACTGCATATTTCCACGCATCTCAGAGCCTGCTCCAACCATTAAGCAGTGAAAACTTGCAAGATGCTTGTGAAACTAGTAGGACAAAAGAAGAAGAGCTGTACAAGGCTTTACCATAGGACATAAAACAGAAAAGAATTTAGAAAACCTGACAGCCCCCAACTTTTGGTGTCAATCTCCCAGACTTCCTTTTTTTTTTTTTTTTCTTTCCATTGGGATTAAATAAAGCAGTCACACCAAGGAAGCCCTACTGGAAATCAGAACCCCTTTGCACTGAATGCCACAGACCCATGCAATAAAGGGACAATCTCTACTCCAATTCTGAGAGCCAGCTTAGATGAAAATGGGAAGAATAGCGGATAAAATAAAACCTAGCATACTAAACCATGAGATCACCCCCACCAGTTTTATGTATCACATTCTATCACATATCTATATCACATATCCTATTTTATGGAATAGTTTAGGTTGGAAGGGACCTTTAAAGATCATCTAGTCCAACCCCCCTGCCATGGGCAGGGACATCTTCAACTAGATCAGGTTGCTCAGAGCCCCGTCCAACCTGACCTTGAACACTTCCAGGGAGGGGGCATCTGTCACCTCTCTGGGCAACCTGTTCCAGTGTCTCACCACCCTCATAGTGAAGAATTTCTTCCTTATATCCAATCTAAATCTGCTCTCTTTCAGTTTAAAACCATTGCCCCTTCTCCTGTCTCTACAGGCCCTACTGAAAAGTCTGTCCCCATCTTTCTTACAAGCCCCCTTGAAGTATTGAAAGGCCGCAATAAGGTCTCCCCAGAGCCTTCTCTTCTCCAGCAATAAGGTCCCCAGAGCCTTCTCTTCTCCAGGCTGAGAGGTGTTCCAGCCCTCTGACCATTTTCATGCCCCTCCTCTGGACCCACTCAACAGGTCCTTCTTGGGGCCCCAGAGCTGGATGCAGCACTCCAGGTGGGGTCTCATGACAGGGAGAATCACCTCCCTCAACCTGCTGGCCATGCTTCTTTTGATGCGGCCCAGGATACGGTTGGTTTTCTGGGCTGCAAGAGGATACTGATAAGTAATGCTATGGCATTTGAATGCCATCTTCTACTGTTGTCTCTGTAGCAACACTCAAACCCCAAACCATAGGCTTAACCGAGTGCTGTTGAGCTTGCAGTGGATACAGATGGGAGTAACCCAGCTGCATCCACTACACAAGTTGCATTGGTTCTGAATGGAGCAGCTGTTGATGGCTGTTTTCAAAGTACTCATCAGTTGATTCTGGGAAGATGCACACAATTTAGCCTTAGGCCAAAGGCTGCCACATAATGACACAATAAAGTCACACCCTTGAACATATCCAAGCCTACAGCATGTCTCATTTAACTCTGGAAAAAATGTTTTTTATATTACTTATGACTGCATTGTTATTTATAAAATAGTCATTTTCATCTATGTTTTCCTGGTTACTTTTAAATAGTCTTCCTATTGATGAACATCTTAATGGCTTTTGAAACCAGATTGTTTTTTATCCTGAATTGTTTGCTGTTGAATTTAGTGCTTGTGAAAGATGCCAGATAACTTTCTAGCATGAGGCTTTGCAGACTGTAATTTGCATCAGCAATTATAAGACACATGCCTCACATATTTCGACACAGCATTAGTAGAGACAGTTCTTATGAAAGTGAACTGCATGAACACATGGCTGAACAAGCTTCCATGCTCTTGACATTTCTCCTGGTGTGGCTGGCAGTGAATGCAAATTATGCTGTTGGGTTTGGGACGCAAACACTCGCACACTTGCAATTGGAACTGAACCATTAAGTTCAATCCACTGTGAACAGCCACTAGGTTTCAGTACAGATTGACCTAGCCTCAATTCAAACCAGTGACAGAAATGAGAAGCTTCTATTTAATCACAGCACCTCTGGAAGAGTTTAACACAATATATACACAATCCTGTTCTTAAAAGGAAAATCACATCCAAGACAAAATTCATTACAAGTCTCAGTTTACACTTAGAAATGAGAAAGAGACTCACTGGATCTCTGGAAACTATTACTGGCTGACAAATCAGTGGAGCCTTCATTTCAAAGAATTTGAGCCAGTTATTCACATCCTCATCAGTATTCAGAGGACAGGCAGAAAATTCTGGAGGCTACAGCAAAAGTAAAAGCTTTGTAAGTGAAAGGAAGACATGTATCAAGATACTTTTTCTCTAGCAACTTTCCTTCACTTTTCCCCTCCCCACTATTCTGTTCACATTCTTTCTTGCCTAAAAGAAGCTCACCAGTGCCCATTACTGTGTTTCTGCTAGAAATAGAAGTGACCATAATATTGCATCTTTCATTGCACCAGTAGTGGGAGAACTACTGAAGTGAGGATTATACTCCTGGTACATTTTAGAAGCTCAGTTATTTTAAAAAAGTCTGTTGTTTCTTATAACTATCATCTCAGTTCATGTATTTAATTTCAATTCATTTTACAATAGCTCTATAGTTCTTTAGCTGCCCATGGATTTCAAAAGAAAAGATGACGGTAATAAGGCCAAGTGACACAGCATCACTAGTTTTGTAACGTCCATTTTGTAATGTCAGCCTCTTACTTTAATACACTGCTTATACTAACAGTTTATGCATACATTTAGAAGTACAAAACAAAGTCAAGGCACTAGGATGTTACACCCTGATTTATATTTCTGTTTTCAGAAGGATGAAGAAAGTTCAATCATAGAATCATAGAATAGTCTGGGTTGGAAGGGACCTCTAAAGGTCATCTAGTCCAACCCCCCTACCGTGGACAGGGACATCTTCAACTAGATCAGGTTGCTCAGAGCCCCGGCCAACCTGACTTTGAATGTTTCCAGGGATGGGGCATCTATCACCTCTCTGGGCAACCTGTGCCAGTGCCTCACCACCCTCATAGTGAAGAATTTCTTCCTTATATCTAGAGTTATATGAATTGAGAACAACTTACCATGATGTGAATCTTTGCTTTCCCCTTCTGTATGATAAATGTACCACCCATCCCAACTGGCTTTTCTCCATAGTGTTTCTCTAAAATTTGTCTCAGACAAGACACAAAGTTAAGTTCCCCAGTTCTTCCATTGGCTTTCACTTCAATGACCTAGAGAATAAAAGTTAATTTGTCAGTGCTGTCTCCCGCTGCAACAGTCTGCAAAGGTCTGTGGAAGCTGCTCTGAAATTCTCCCAAGCTTATAACCCAAGATTACTTTTTGGAAATGTGAGTTTCCCTGCCAGCGCTGCTCCACTTGCATCCTTCCAGTACCTGACCAACTCTTTTCCTGACTTTCTGTTCAACACTAGCTTTGCCTGTGAAGGGTGCTGGGCAGCAAGTCATTTACTCATACACGAGACAACGATATAAGCAACCCCTTTCTGTCCACCAGCTGGCTTCCACTCTGTTATAAAGAAACTCTTGGAAACTGAGAAGACTGCTCAATTTCCATGCAGTAGGCAGGTTTTTGACTGCTCTGCCAACACCTCTTTGTGCTAGCTGTGTTGGGGGAAGCACTTCTACAAAAAACTAGACAAGTGCCCAGACCTGACTTACACAAGTACATTGTGCAACGATTACCTTAAATCACTGCTAGTTTGGACCGGATTTGGATGGATGATTTATGATGGAAAAGTTTTAGTAAACTAATACTTATCCCTCAAAAATTCAAATGCCTCTCTGTCTCCACCAATTCTTCCCCTCGTTCACCAGCATCAGTTCCTTATGTTTGGATATTTCTTTCATGGAATTACTACTTTACTATTATCACAGAAAACAGATAGGAGAACATTGAAACATGAGTTTCCCTTCAGTCACAAAGCTCTACAAGCAAAGTCATCTTTGATCCAAGTACATACCTTACCAGGTTGGCCCTCACTGGCATAAAGGTTGGCCAACAGCCCAAACTCACAGTCAGTATATTTACTGCTGTACTTCTCAAGCAGGCACCCTTTATCTGCAGGATTTATCTGAGCAATGTAGCTCCCATTTACAGCAGGCTTTTTTTCGCTCTTAGTTTGAACAATAGGGATAAGCTGAGAAAAAGAACGTGTAAGAATAAGTCAAGTAAGTCAATAAGAACATGTAAGAGTCAGTCAAACGAACAGAACTCACATAAATGCAACTTAAGCTTTGGACCACAATCCTAAGAAATAATCCCCTTCGTCACACAGCTCTGTCTCTCAGGATGAGGTCTGTACTGGTAAGAAAAATGCACTAATATTGTAATGTAATTGAAAACGCCAGAAAACAGTTTTACTTTTTCTGGACAGTTAAATTTAACGTTACGTGAAGATGAAAGCTAGTGTTAAAAAAAAAAAAAAGAAAAAAAAGTCTAGTCTAACCATTGAGATCTGAGGCCTGCATGCAAGTATTGGAATTCCATGTTGTCCTGGATTCGGCTGGGATAGAGTTAATTTCCTTAGGGAAAAGGACTGTCGTGGTTTAACCTCAGCTGGCAACTGAGCACCACACAGCCGCTCAGCTCACTCTCCCCCTGCCCCGGTGGGATGGGGGAGAGAATCGGAAGAGTAAACGTGAGAAAACTTGTGGGTTGAGATAAAAACAGTTTAATAATTGAAATAAAATAAAACAAAATAATAATAACAATAATAATAATAATAATATACAAAGCAAGTGATGCACAATGCAATTGCTCACCATCCGCTGACCGATGCCCAGCCAGTCCCTGAGCAGCGGCCCCCCCGGCCAGCTTTCCCCAGTTTATGTACTGAGCATGACGTCCCATGGTATGGAATGTCCCTTTGGCCAGCTGGGGTCAGCTGTCCTGGCTGTGCCCCCTCCCAGCTTCTTGTGCACCCCCAGCCTTCTCAGTTGGTAGAGCATGGGGAGCTGAAAAGTCCTTGACTAGTGTAAGCGCTACTTGGCAACAACTGAAACATTGAGAACAATCAACATTGTTCTCCTCCTAAATCCAAAACACAGCACTGTACCAGCTACTAGGAAGGAAATTAACTCTATCCCAGCTGAAACCAGGACATATGTAATGCTTTCTCAGTGTACAGTAACAACCACTATTACAGTGGCCCAAATTTAATGCTGAGATGGACTATCTCCCTCTGCCAATAAATGCATCAAAAGGAGATGGCAAGACCAGAGGTTTATGCTTAAAAAGCCTCCACAGGCAGTAGTTTTCGTCTCCCGCCTCTGCTGCAGGTGATCATTTTGTATGTAGCATCTTTAAAATTTACAATGGTAAAACAAAGCCATCCAAGAAGGCAAAAGACAGGGAGTATTTCAAAGGCATTTACCAGTAACTTTGACAAGCATTTCTAAATCTTGTCATTAAAACCTCTGGTCAGGTCTTTGTCAATCAGTTTCAAAAAATCATGTTTCTTGCACGCTTCAAAGCAATCACATGCTTCCTGGAGAATTACAAGTTAAAAATTAATCTTTAGTATCTCAGTAGTATGCACCTCATTGGATGGCACTCATCTCAATTCCTTCTAATGCGTTTTATGTGCTTTTGGCATGAATGGTGTTTATTAAACATTTTATTGTAAATGGGAAATACCCAGCATGATACTGCTCTACTATTATGATACTTCCATGAATTCATTGAGAACTATCACACTTATTTACTGACCTCAGCATTTACTCCAAGAATCTTAGATGAAGCAGCTCCAGCTCCAAGAATGAAAGCTCCAGGCAGCTCTATGTCTTTTGCAACTGTATTTAGATCGTAAACCTGCAAAAGAGAAACAATGCTTTGATTCTGGTGTGGTGCTCTGATTCAGAATTGTCATTCTGTTCACTGTAATCTCTGGATGAATTTAATTCAGAACACCCTCATTAGTATTTTGGATAATTATGTTGAACACAGTTTCTGAACAACACAACATTTGGTAGTAACAAATTGGGTACGTGTCCCTTTGTTTTCCGAAAGATAAAGTCTGCCTGTATGCTCCCCTGCTATTTTACCCAAAAACTGAATTATTGTTCTTATTGAAATTTATATTTATGTAAAATAAAAAATGGAAGGGAATACCACATAGAGACAGATGGGGTGAGGTGTCAGAAAGGAGGCATGATATTCTTGGAAAAGGACAGTAATGTGAATCCAGTGTTGGCCTGAAAATGCAAATACAGCCAGTTTTTATAAAGAAGCATGGCTGTGACTTGAAATCACAGGCATGCAGCAAGCCATGTATAAACATGCAGATAAGCCCTTTGTTTAGTAGTTCCTTCCATGGCTCCTGTCACAGATGGTATGTTTCCAAAACTATCTTGTATTTGGGGGCAGGAGAAGATGAACCATTAACCATGATATGCTATTTTTGCTATGATGTGTAAGGTTTCCTGACATAGTCTATGTTTAACACGTCAGAATCAATCTCATAAAACACTGAAAAGTAAGTCTCTTTCACAAGTGGAATCTTACAGTATCCGTTAGTCCTTAGTTTTGTTTCTATTTCAACAAGGTATTGCTTTTCTTTTGACAAATGTATTAAACCCCACAGCTACAAGAAAAACTCACTTTTTCTTTCTGTACAACAGGTATGAGGTAAGGAACACCTCCCACATCCGCTATTCTAGGCTTTCCACAGATTCCTGGAAGAATACAGCCAGTTAGCTTGGTAAAATATTTTTTCCTAATAATCTTAAATGAGCATGCAGTCTAACCCACCAAAGAACTGGTTCCTCAAACTTCTAAACCCCTTTGAGAGCACTATTTCCCGAGCATGCTTAGATAAAGTGTTCCACTATTAAGAAGTCCAAGGACAGTAAGCCCTAAAACGATTCACAGTAGGATTTACTGCTAGGCAACCTGTTGTAAAATTAACATTCTCTAAGCACAAAAAAATATTACAGGGGGCAACAACTGCCATTTGCCAGTTCTCCAGTAAGATGCCCTCACCACACAGTGGATACCCCCACTGGGACTCCACTTGCAAAATTTCAGCAAAGCTGGATGCCCAAGTCTCAGGACAATTCACCCCACTTGTGAAATTGGACATGTATTTTAAGAAGGGATGAATCACCTTCTGGAGGTGTTTCTTTCACTACATTGATGACAGAGGGAACTCAGATGAGTAGCACAGATGACACGTCTGTCTTCCAGACAGCTCATGTCAAAGAAGATGAATCCTACTCAGAATAAGACAGTTTCACTTCACCGACATACATGAATGGCAGGAATTTAAAAATGAATGGAAGTGTGACTCCTTAGGTTCAGATAGCGATTGGCACGGATCTAAAAAATTTCTCCATCTGGAAGATAACAACTTAATTTCAAAACGTTTTCAGTACACTAAATAAAGCTTATGAAATAAGTGAGTATTGCAATCATAGATTACGAAAAAAATTATGACAAGTACTTGGTAATGACTTGTCCTTGTTCATACATCAACTAGGAAGCAAATCCAGGAATAAAATATAGCTTTCCTCTCATGCATATTCTTTACCTGAAAAACAATTTAAACTCTCCCAACATCTTTAGAAGATCAAAACCGAGTAGGATCAGGTAGAAAGAACTGGAGAAGTCTTAGTGAAAGACAGGAATGCTAGGTTACCTTTAGCAGGAAAGTTGAAGGGTTCCTGAGTCAGATCAGGACAGTCTACAACAGAGACTTGAGCATCAGCGAAGTTTTCTTTAAGCCCTTTCTGCAACACTATAATAAAGAATAATGGCAAAGTTATTGACAATGAAAAATTACCAACAGTTTGACAAGTTACTAACAACAATAAATATATCTGTTCAGGCTTTATTTCAGCAAGACACATTAAAGGACTTATGCTTACCCTAAATAACTCCATTGATTTAAATGTTACTGTCTGTAGGCACTTGTTTCCTGAGTCAGAGCTTCAGAGAAGAGCAAAAGCTTGTTCAGATAATTGTTAGCTACCACATTAATTCATTTTAAGAATTTTAAAAACCTTTTAAATGAAATACAATAACTGACTGCTTCTAGTAGCACTAGAAGCAGCACAATGTGAAGTAACATGGGTAAACTTAAACTACATTCAGCAGTGGTTTTGCTTTACAAGAGCAGACAATTATGATCATGGTCAAATACCATGTGAGAGCAAAGGAGGAAGTAAGTTTTAGCTGAAGTGACAATCAGTTCTTTAAATATATTAGCCAGACTGTTTGCTATAGCTTGATTATAATCTCAAACTGTCTCTGCTGTCTGGAAACTTCTGCCGTCACAGGACATTGCCTGTCATGTTTATGTTCATGTCGAGATTTTCTGCCAAGTGCCACTGTCAGTACAAGACAGATAATGAATGATGCTGATGATAATCAACAGCCCCAAATCTAAACTTTTGGGTTTGCTTCATATCAATGTTTTTAGGCTCAGAACCTGCAAAGTGACTCAAACAACAGGGAGGATTCTGACTTAGACAAGTGCACTGTTTGGAAACAACTTCCAAACTTTAATTGAGTGTGGGATTGCCTTCACATACACTGCTTCAAATACTGTGTTAAAAGGTCCAAGTTCTTTCATGCCTGAGGGTCTGTTTTGACAGATGTCTCAAACTAAGGAACAGAAAATCCAGTCTGTGATCTCAAGTCAGGCAGTTCCTTATTTACTCAGAAGACTTTCCTGTGCCTTTGTTTCCTCCGGTCAGGATTTCAGCCATACCTTACTTCTCCAGAGCAGATTTACCAAGCTGTTGACCACAAGGGTCAGTAGAAGGTACTTGGCAGGTTTCTAAAAACATCTCAGTACCTTCTGGTAAGTGGAAAAGGACAATAAAAGGGCACTCCTCAAATTATACTCATGAGCTGAATAGCAACAAAATTCACAGCTTACAGGAGGTCGTCAGGACAGACAGCAGGGAAAAAAAGGGAAATTCTGCTTCGTGACTCATTTTTTCTGCTACTGTTTTAAGCTGTTCTACTGCAAGTATATGCTGTTCTCTGCAGAGCCCACAGGTCTATAGCAGCCCCGGCCTATTGCCCCAGCTTGACAGCTACTGGGTGAGAAAAGCACTGAGAACTACCCAGGGTATTGCGGGGACCATACTTTCTCAAAGCATGGAAATGTCAAACTGACACAGATTTGGGAGAGTGGCAGACTGAACTTGAGGACCCCTCTGAAAGAAAAAAAACCTTTAGTACATCTGCTGCAGGAGACAGACTGCCAGAAGGAATAATGCATTTCTACTAGGACAAGGAAAGAAGCTCATGAGCAGGTGGGTTGGACCAAATCACCTCCAGAGGTCCCTTCCAACCTCAACCATTCTGTTATTCTGAGTACATTTTGTGAAGGCTTTGGAAAGAAACAAACTAAATAAAATGTTTCCTGCAGCCTGGTTCTAAGGCAGTCACCGAAAGAGGAGCCAACTAGAGGACCTTACATGCTATACTGCATCTTGTCAGCTGTGTTTTGAGTAGTCCTGAAAAAGAAATAAATACTGTAGGGTAGAGGAGGACAGATGATCCCGTATGCGTAAATAAGTTCAGTCTGTAATTGTCAAACTTTCACAACCCATGCACAAATCTGCAAATGCAGCAGACAGTTTTAAAGCGTTTGAGAGCCTGTTTGTGTGCTTAAGTATCATTGGGATTTGAGGGAGGAGTCATTGTTTGCCTTAAGGAAATAATAGCATATAGAAAAATAGTGCTTTTCTTTACATCTCAGTGTGCTAAGAGCAGGAACATTCTGTATGTACTAGCTGTAGAAAGTTTTTGATAAGAGCTTTAAGATAAGTTTGAAGAGTACATTATAAGCTTGTAAAAAGTTACATGCAGCATGACTTACCCCCAGCAAGCTCCTCCAGACTTGGAACGTGAAAAGCAAATCTTTCGACTTTGGCCATTTCCTAATTGGTGCTGATTTCTTCAGGTAAGAAATTGCAATATACCACGCTGTAGGAGCGACTGATCTGTCAACAAGGATGATAGTTTAACGATTAAAACAGGCTGTTTTCAATATGTTACTTATTTTTCAATTTCACTCAAGAATACATAGACAACAGTAGAATTGTAGTTCTGCCATCAAAGGAAAGACTAACAGCTTCAATATTAATGTTAATTTTCTTATGCGCTTTGGAAGAAGATGTGTCTGTCAGCTCTATAGCTGGCTCAGAGCATTACATATGCTAGTCCTCAAGCTTACAACTGGCTGTAGGCAAAACACATCCTACGCTGAATCCAGTTCAAAAGACAGGTCAGGAGATTTATCTGTCCTTTGTAAGCCTGGAGTTATAATTTGTTTTTGAAAAAAACCTGGGCTTTTCTGAGCACCTTAGCTGCCTCCTCAGGTCTTCCCTACCTTAATGTTTACTTTTCCAGCATTGGCTATGGTGGACTTTCAACCACAGCTGTGACATGGTCTCCAATTGATTGTGGGCATGTGTTTCCCCTTCCAGAGGGGAACAGGCTAGCAACAAAATAGAAAACAACAGCAGCAAGTTCTGCAGTATCAGGCTCTGCACCCGTACAGAGTTTTGTTTGAACATAAGTATAAGAACCTCTTTACAAATGTACTATATTTCAGTCAGCCTTGCAACAGCAAAGTCAGCTACTAGGGCAAACCACTAGCTCAGGGCAGAAACAGCTGATTATACACTACCTATAAATCAGCCACAGCAATCATTAACTCCTTAGGCACATGCTTGCTGCACACAGCAGAAAAAGAAAATGGGTCCTACTTATCCAGATCTCAGGCCCCGGAGGAAAAAGCCAAAAACCTAATTACAATCCCAGACCTGACAGAGCTTTTGTTAGCAAGTACTATGATGTGAGCTAGCTGCTTATGTATACTTTTAGCTTCTATTTAAAAAAAATCCTAGCTTTTATGATTGTCAAAAATCATAACTGTCCTTATACCATCAGCCTCTCGAGTCTGCATAAAGGAAAAAAAACGAGCGGAAAAAAGAAATAAAAAGAGTTGGGACATCATAGCAGTCACCTAACTGAAGTCTTTGAGCTCAAAGTTCAGCCACCCCAAATTACTGCTGTACCAAGCAGTAGAGAAAGGGAGAAAGACAGCTACCTATGTATAGTAATTCTCGTCTTAGTTGGTCTTATCCATCTTCACAGGTGACTCCCTCCCTCCTCTGGCTGTGGAGGAGAAAGTAACAGGCTGGATTTGGCACCTCTGGTAGAAGCCTACTGTCAGATGGAGTGAATCATACCCAGAGACTTTAAGTGTACACCAAACACAAGAAAGGGAGTAATTAGTCAGAGAAAGAAAGTGAGAAGATGGCTTTGGCAGCATTGTTTTAGGTGATCTTCATCCCCTCAAGAACTTTTTGCCACGTCCGGAAGGAGGCTGTGCCAGCACTCAAGACACCAGTTGAAAAAGTCCTGAAACAGACTGAGAAGGCAAGCTAGAACTGCTGTTGTGCAAAGGGCAAAGGCAAGACTTGGACACAGTTCAAATAAGTAGGCTCAGATATAGCATCTAGACCATCACCTGCTGTTTAAAGGACAGTAGTCAGCTCCCCGCAATCAAGAAAGGAGGGAAAGACTGTGGGAAAAGCTCGATGTACCATAATAAACCCGATCTGATTGCTAGACAGTAGTCCTTACCGGGGAGGACACAAAAGAGAAGTAGATCCGCGAGTCACCACCACAAGGAGAGCATTCACAGGGGAGTTTGTGTGGTGTGGGGGAGGGAGAACCTGAAAGAAGACAACAGACAATTAAGATCCATCATGGAGGGGTGGAGTGACATTGAATTACTACAGAAGACTCTCAAAGAAAGAACACAAATGCTAAAAGGACAATAAGATTATTAGATCTGGGATGGTGCAACAAGAATGGAGAGAACAAGCATCTAAAAATACTTTAAAAGTCTATCTTTTTGAAACAGGAAGAAAACATCAGAGAGAGTAGCCAAGGGCCAGGACAATGCAGATGAAATGGGAACCATGATGTTAATGGGGTGGGGAGGGGGTTGTCTAGTATCATCACCTGAATTAAAACTAGTTTGGAGGGTAGAAGCCAGAAAGGAGAGGTTATAGGCAGGCTAGAGATGAGTCAAGGTGGCGGGAAAAAGAAATATCAGGGAAAAATTGAAGATGGCAGTCAGTGAGAGAAGAGAAATTTAGCGATGACACAAAGAAGAGCAAAACATCTACAGATGCATCCGCAAAGGTTGCATTCCTCAGCTGGGGCGACGTAAGGAGATCCCGTACGTGGCAGAGGAAGGCTGAAGGACAGCAGAGGCATCTGCTTGAGCGGCTGGGATTTGGAGAAGGGGCAAGGCGGGGCAAGAACAGGCGGGCCAGGCAAGACTGAGGTCCTTAGGGAGAGCATCCAGGGAGTCAAAGGCAGCAAAGAGTGCTGGAGCGAAGAAACACTAAAGCTGACACTGCACTTGGCATGGCTGCGAGAGGAAAGAAAGGATTATTCAGGCTGGAGCCGCCAGCTCGGGGGAGACTGGGCGGCAGAGGGAAGGACAGGCAGGACAGCAGTAACGAGAAGCCGACGGTGCAACGAGCAGCTCCTCGGAGTCTCACATCGAGCGGGAAGAGCGAGAACTCCGCTGTGAAGGGAAGCCCGGACCCTCCGGGCGAGGCGGGAGAGCGGTTGAAGGGGGAGACAGCCGGGAGCTGCCCCGCACTGCCCG